GAATACGGTTTTGTGTAAATGCAGAAGGATTCATCTACGGCCCCATAAAATATATACATATATATATTCCTGATCAGCGTCAATAGCCGACCTGATCTAGCCATATGTGCTTATTTGTCTGTCTGCCTGTCTGAACTTATAGGCGCAATAAACCTGAAAGCTTCATCTTAGATGCTTCTAGTGTCCGCGCAGTACGATAGTCGATAATCTGTCCGGGTTCAAGCAATCGATTACAATTGATATCGATTTCATGATCTTTGAGCAAATCTCTTTGGGTTTAACCCGGTTAGAGTCACCAAGTTCGACTTGTAGCTTCAAGAATAGTATATGCAGATGAAGAATCTTTTATTTTATAGCTTCAGCGAGAACTGCATTTGCTGTTGGTAGAAGAAGTTAGGGTATCCCTAGTCGGGCAAGCTGACTTATTAGATATGCAAATTTCTCCTATATCCTTCTCTTTCTCCTCCTTAGGCAAATGAGACTATAAAATTAGCCAAACGGAGTAAAAGAAACCAATTTTTAGTCAACCATTTAAAGGTATTCAATGCAAGCTCGCACATTTATAGTTAAAATGTTCTGGATTCCATATATGTATCTACATCTCATCATATTTGCTTCGATCGCATTGCATTGTGAAACTATTAAAACCACATTGAGTCCATATGTTGAACTCGAGTTGAATCATTTGAAAAGCAAGTTGCGAACGCAGACAAGAACTCATTTTCCCAGCGCCAATTAATTCATTCAATAAATTGCAATATGAGAATATGTTTCATGAATGATATCATGCTGTACTTGGCATTTAGATTTATTTACTATATAAAACTTATTAAATTTGGCTTATAAAAATATTATACTTTAGGCATTGGTAGTAGCTAAATTTTGAGAACTTTCTAGGCATTATAACTAAAATTATATTATAATTTATAGCTAAAGCTTCAACATGAATCTGACGCGTTTTTCCCTTTTATTGCTATTCGTCTAAAATATTTAGGGTATTTTGTAGCCAAACTCAGCTTTTGGTTTTTTTGTTGATGTCTCTTTCGACAATTTCGGAGCTACCGTCATGTATAACGCCTACAACTTGACGCGAACCAAGTTGGGCTCGGGCGCCGAGATGAGATATGAATGTTGATTGTTTTCTGTTTTATCTTTGGCCGACGCGCTTACTACAACAAAGTGTTACGCGGCGGCTGTTGCTGTTTGGCAATCGACAACAACAACAACAACAACAACAACAACAACAGCAACAACAACAAGCAAATGTGCAAATAATTAATATGATTTTCGGCGTTTGTGTTAAATCTTAATGGAGGTCAACAGTTCCAAAAATATTGAAAACTTCGCGCTGCTAAAAGCCGATCATGTTGAAATAAATTGCAAAAGGTGTACAATGTAATTGAACAAAGAAAGAAACAAAAGTTCAGCAGAACTTATGTTTGACTTTACTTGGGAACCAAAATTACTATTTAGCTTAAATTTATTCTTTAATAACCAAATTTATTTGGTAAAAGTTTAATTATTTGCTGAAAAGCAAGTCTTGAACCAAAAGAACCTTAAGGAATGGAACTAGTTCGCGACGTGAAGCGAACCTGCGAGAATATGTTGTGCCTGCAGCCCTGGTGCAAACGAACCGTTCTGCCTATTTATATATACATAACCTAGCCTAGCTTTAAATTTAGCTTAAAACAACAAATATAGCTCCTTAATACAAAAAAATGATCAATTTATAAGAGATGTACACAATTTTCTTTATTAATATTTTGAGGTTTTGTGAAAAGGAAATAAACACGATCGACGTTCTGTTGTTGCTATCAATTAAGGATTATTCACAATTATTGATTGGCTTAATTAAAAGACAAGCCGCAATGTGGTTAAATTTTATTTGTAAATTACGAGGCATACGAAATGAATAATAATATTCATTTGCTAATGACAAACTGAGTGCCGGGCACTTAATCAACGGCAAAACTTTCCGATTCTCTCCATTATGGAGAAAAGTTGAGCAGCAGAAATAGAGTGAGAGAGAGAGAGAGAGGGAGAGGGGGAGAGGTGAAGAGACAACGAATAGCAACGACTTGTCAAGGCAGAGAGGAAACTTTTGCAACATGCTGTAGCCGCCGGTCAAAGACGTTGATTTCAAAATAATGAGAAGCAAGGGAGGTAGAGGGAGAGAGAGAGAGAGAGAGAGAGAGAGGATGAGCAACTGGAAGATTGGCGCATGCAAAGTGTCAAATAATTCAAATGTGACTGCACACACGGACAGCAGCACAGCCAATCGAATAGAAGAAGCGACTGAGCGCAGTTTGTGCGGAGGGCTGCCAACTTGTTTTTGCTTTTTGCATGCCATTTGCAACACGGAGCTGCCGCATTTCGCAATCTAAAACCGCCGACACTTTAAACGCTCATTTGGCCGGGCGACCCGCTGAGCAGCCGCACAATTAACCAGCCAAAGTGAGCCGCGGGCAGCTTCACTAGTCCGCCCCAACCCGCTCCTCGCCCAGTTCGTGCTCTCTGGCCCCTTTGCATGTCCACTTGCATTTCCAGCTAATTTGCCGCCAGTGTTTGGCAATAAATCTCACTCACACTCTCACATGCACACAGTCACACACTGGAAACTGCTCCTAATGAGCCCTGAGGGTGTGTTTTGGCAGCAAAATTAACTCATTGCCGCACACTTGAAATTCTTCCTCTTCTTTCCCTTTCTAAATGCGACGCTGCGGGGCCGAGGCCAAGGTATTGAAACAGCTGCATGCAAATCTCGGCAACTAAAAATATTCATGTTGTTCAATTAAACAACAACATCTTTATTAGACTTTTCAAAATACATTTTTTTCCCATGATTGGTTGCAGATTGGAACTACTTAAAGTGAAGAAAAAACAACTTCCTATCCTAAACAATGGGGCATAGCAAATTTGGTATTTCATTATAAAAATTAAGTTGTAGAGAAACATATTTTTTGTAGAGAAATATTTTAAAGCACACTGGAACATTATATATGTCAAGAGTTGGAATTTTCTTAAATTTTATATTGGAAAGCTTCCAATTTTATGTTAAGCTTAGCTTCCAGTTGTTGGAATCTTTCGCAAATGGAAATCGAGGCCCAACTACATACATATATTTAAAGCTATTTGTACCTGTTGCTGTATTTGTGTATAAACAGTCAAAGAATTCGATAAATAAAGGTAAATATTTGTACGCTTGGGGCTTTGGTTGGCTTTAAAACTGTCTAGAGTACATCAAAAATATTTTAATTCATTCTTTTGTGTTTAAATTTGGGGTCTGATGCGAGCGCACAAAGGATTTGTCTGTTGCCACTTGAAACGAGCTCGAAACGCGCTAGAAGACGTACAACACATACAGACACACATCTCTACACTCTTTTTCGAACTCACGCGAGGTAAATCTCAACTTTAACCTTCAACTTGAAAGCGCAGCACATACACAAACAAACTAAGCGTACAAACACTTGATACACTTTTGAACTCCCTTCTCCTCCTGCCGCTCCTGCTGAGCATTTTTCCATGGCTTTCTGGAGTGCTTGCGCGTGTGGAGACAAGCGTGTGTGTGTGTGTGTGCGTGCGTGTGCCTGTATCTGTCTGCTTGTTAACAAATTTCGAAATAAAACATTTCTGGGAATTCTACACAGCAAACAAATAAAAGCGCACACCGACAGAGCTTCCAATGCGCCGCCCGCTCTCCACATTCTGCACGCTCTCCCCACCACACTCAAGCTTTGGCATGCGCAACGAAAGGAGCGCAAAACGACGAAGAAGAAGCTTTGCGGATTGCGCAAGCGCAAAGCGCAGCTGAAGACGCCGCCGCTGCTGGAATTTTTATGGCATTTTTCATGCTACACACACACACACACACACACACACAAACTTTCCGCTGCCCCGTTGCAGAACCCTACAAGTGACAAAAGAGTTGCATTGTCTCTTCTCGCTCACAACAAAGAAACAACAATAACAAGGGCAACGGGAAAGGGGAACTGGAATATTCAGCGTCGCGACATGTAAATGAGTGCAAAGTATTTGCATTTCAATGTAAAAGCAACAACAACAACAACAACAAAATTGAAATTAAAATGTTGTGCAGTTAGTGGAACATTACCACAAGGAAGCCAAGACAGAGAGAGAGAGAGAGAGGGAGAGAGCGCACACAATGCGAAATGATAATGGAAAGCAATGTACTTAATGGGCTCTCAGAACTGCGGTACAGTGGGCGGACGCTGCGTGAGAGGCCCTTTCACAAATTGCCGCTTTAATGAATAGCCGCATAATCAATTTTTATTATTTTCACGCTTTGATTTTAAGCGTCGAGCAATAAATAATTAACCAGCCCTCACAATTTTGGGCCATCAATTATTTTATTTGGTTAATACTAATGGTTTGTGTGGCTTAGAAGTTTTTAAGATATTTTAAACCTTTTTTTTTAGCTTGAAAAAGCTAAAGCGGGGAATATTGTTAAAAAACCTAATCTTTAAAGAATAGATGGCAATGAATACGAAAGGCTCTACTTTTAATTAGAGGTATTTTTATACAAATTTTTAGTTGATTATCCTTTTTTTTTTTGTGTTTGATTAGCGTTTATATTGGTTCTCATGATTCATGTTAAAGTGTGACTTTTAATATGATATGGTATGCTGTGACTATGACTTCAATAATAAAATGATATGATAGGCAAATTCTGACTAGTTAACATGATTTTTGCATATTTTCTTTGTTGATAAAGTAAAAACATATATTTTTCCTAGTTTTAAGTCATGTTGAACCTAGGCCTGAAACTGTCAACATTTACCTTTAACCTTTCGTATTAAGCCTTTTCTTTTATATATTAATCCTTCACTTAAATTGAGCTAAAATAATTTCGATCTTGACCTTTTAAAGACGACTCAACTTAAACTATTATTAAATGTTTTCACTCAATACGCATTTCAATGAGTTGGTCTCAATGTACTTAACGGTTATTTATTGTTATGGCATCCATGAGAATTTACCTAAGAAACTGCAGCTATACCCGCTTCCAGCGCGTCGACCGGTTGTTTTATTGCAGCTCCAATTATTTTGGAAATTTATTTGATCCTTCCCGTTGCTGTCGATTCCAATGCTGTTGTTGTTGTTGTTGCTGCCGCTGTTGTTGTTATTGTTGGTGCTTTTGCCACTCGAAGAGCGGTTGGTTAGCGGGAACATGGCATGTATCTTTTGCGTTGCGGTTGCCTCATGTATCTGTGTGCATGTGTAGCTGTATCTGTATGTGTGCAATGCGGCGATGCCAGTTGCAGCTGCTTTTTGCAGCCTGGCGTATCCTTTCAAGTTTCGATCCAATCAATTTTGATCAAGTTACGTTGACTCCTTTTTCTGATTCACGACCTTTTTGGTATTTCAACTTGTTCTGCTCTGCTTCGCATTTATAAAGATGCTCCAAGGGATTTTAATTATTGCCATCAATTTTTGTTTTAATTTTTTATAACAGTACACTGACACGTTGCTTATTAATGTTAATTAAATAATTTTACACTTAAATTATATATTTATTTCGTTAAACATGCTCGAATTTTACAACTGTTTTACGTTTATATGCTTTGAACCAACTTTTTTGTTTACAATTCAAGGTAAACAGTTAAATCGATAGCAAGTTATCGATAGGCATTCACAATAGGCATGTGTTGACTGCTTGGCATTCCGTTACACATACGCCCGGTAGATTCGTTAAATTTTGCAACTTTGCACTTTATTGGGCCACAATTTAGTTTACATGCGCCGTAAATAAAACCGTATCCAAATGATGTCGCGCTACACGCGATCGCAGGCGTTCTAAGCGCTGACGAGGAGTTCGCGACGCGCGAGCTTTGAGACGCGTTTCGAGACTGAACGAGGGCGCTGAGCGCAAAAGCCAAACAAGTGTCTGCCAGCAAACGTGGTCAGCTGGGAGCGCAAGTCTACAATGGAAGTCTACACGAGACGCTTTACCGGTTACAACTCTGAGCGGCGTGGGCTCTCGCTCTCTCTCCTCTCTGACAGCGTGCGCTGCCGATACACGATCTAAATGCGGCGCTCAGAGCGCGTTCTCTGGGCTTATCAGTTGACTATCGCACATTTCATTTTCAATTTCAATTTGTGTGGAAAAATTCATTCACGCTTTGTTGTTGTTGTTGTTCCTGTTGATTTTCGTGCTCGTATTTGTATTTACTTTTTTTTTTGTGAGTTTTGAATGATTGAGGCGCTGACTCGCGCTTATCACGCGTACCCGAAATAGCGGCACAGCCCGCGCTGAGCTGATGACGCAAGCAGGCGAGCGAGCCTCTGCCGCGTGCTGAGGTCTCGCAGGTTTTAAATACAGATAAGCCGTTAGGCACTTGCTGAATCCCGTTTAAAAAGGAACCGATTCAAAATCGGAACTAATTTCAATTCTACCATGAACCGAGCCAGGTCAATTAAGAAAAAAACTGCCGAATCTAACTCCTAACAAATATCTAGAAATATTTGGAATTTGAGGTAGACCCACTCTCATAGTATAAATTACTTTGGCCCCTCCATATTGTTTTTACCTAGCATATTTAATTAATGATAATTTTGCTTAAAAGTAGAATTTAGCCCGCATATTGTATTTAAAAACATTTATGGCTTTCAATATTTTCAGTACAACGGGCAGACATCAATATAATATGACATTTAAATTACAAACGAGGGCAGAAACTGAAACCTGGGTACAGAATTGTGGAGAAACAGCTCCAAGAATTTTAAGCAGAAAGCTGGTTCGAACCTTCAACCGATTATTATTCGGATTTGAATTCAATGTAAAAACAATAATTTAGTTCCGGATTCAAAACGGTTCAATTTAATTTCAGAAAAACGAATTATAAAGATATTCCAATTGCTTTAAGTATTTCTACCAGATTCTAGGTTAAAAGTTGACTTTGATATGTGTTGTAGAATTCTTTTTTTTTTTTTTATATATGATTTCGATTTCACGTCGATTTCACACTATTTGAAATCAAAGTATTTCAATCTTATCAAAATTATCACTTTGCGAGCTTATCGCTCATAGAAATTGATTGGTTTTGCATCATGCAATTAAAAATAGAGCTCTTGCACAGATTTCCCTTTCGAAATCGTCGAATGTAAAGCAAATGTTTTGTTACAAATCACATTAATCAAGATTGTGTCAAAGGAATTACCTCATTTGTGCGCTTAACATGTGTGGGATCTGATTGGACTGCCGCTGGACTACTTCGCAGCTACCAGGCGAACAGGTAAGACCAACACAGTCTACTCGATTATGATCTATTGTTCTGTATTACACGTTTACAAGTCGATGGACTTGCCATTACATTGCAATTGCACCTAATCGAAATGTTTTCCCACTGGGAAATCCGAGCGGAGCTAGATATATGGAGTAAGTGGAAGTACTCGTATTACTTAAAGAACATTTTTATACCCTGAACCTATTGAAAATGGGTATAAGGGTACATTGTATTTGTGCAAAATCCAAATGTATGTAACAGGCAGAAGGAAGCATCTTCGACCCCATAAATTATATATATTCTTGATCAGCATCATTAGCCGAGTCGATCTAGCCATGTCCGTCTGTCTGTCCGTCTGTCTGTCCGTCCGTATGTATGAACGCAAGGATCTCAGAACCTATAAGAGTTAGAGACCTTTTAGATGTAGGACTTCCTAGTGCCTGCGCAGATCGAGTTTGTTTCCGATAATCGATAACGTACTCCGTTTCCAAGCAATCGATAAAAATCGATATCGATATCCTGTTTTTTGGGCAATTTTGGTAAATAATAAGAGCTTGAGTCACCAAACTTGACATATAGCTTCTAAAATAGAATATATATATGCATTTCATGTTGGAAGAAGAGGGTTCAGGGTATCGCCTAGTCGGGAGCTCCCGACTAGAACCTCTTGTTAAGCTATGTTCAATATATTGGCATCTTGTAAGTAAGGACTTATAGAAGAAGATACTTTGCAGAAATTCGAATCTTTTTATATACAATTTTTAAAAAAATATTACAATAAAATGCAATAATTTGTATATTTCTGAAGAGAGAAGAGTCTATTATTTAGTCTGTTCTAAATGAAAAGTGAAGCCATTAATTAAAGCCAACTACCTGTGCTCACCTGTGCCTTATCTAGGCAAAAAAAGAAAACAATACAAGTTTGAAATGGAAAAGAGTTCAGGCCATAAATATGGGAAGAGCAATTGCCAATGCAAATGCTGGGCATATCTATATATATATATATACTATATACATACATATATCAGTTGTGGGAAATCGCCGACGCGCTTATCGAACACACAAAATGCATTCGGAATTGTCGGACGCGGCGTTTTATTGGGCATCCGAAGTGCTGCATGCTTAATAAATAGACGCTGTGGCAAAGAGATTCGGCTGGATGCTGCCACACGTACCACAACAAAGTTGCAACTGCAACTGCAACAGCGCAGTCTGCGGGTTTTTCTTTTTTAGTTTTCGGGCTCGTTTCGACCACAGGCCCACAGCCCGTTACCGGTTTTCGGTGCCGACCATTCATGGCAACTACCGTTTGGTCTTTTGTTTGAGTTTGTCTTGTGGCCGTCAGCTCAGCTCCACGGAGTCTATTTGTAGATACAAGCTGCCTAACAAGCGATCCGACTCCAGCACTCCAGCAACTCCAACTGCTGCCACCGATTCCTCTCAAGCCTCGCCCGCCACCCCCCCTCCCTCTTACTAGAGAGTTCCTACTATCTCTTTCTTCGGTGCCTTGCGGTGTGTGTACTTAGGTCTCATCATGCCCTGTTCGTACAACGAAGAGGAGTATATTGGTTTAGACTAGTTCGGTACTCTTTAGAAATAACTTTACACTTGTTAGAAGTTATTTTCTACCTTTTCCCATTAAATCCTTTTTCCCAGACTTATAACTAACTTTTCCAGATCTTTTTTACTCTCATACTATCTCTTTCTTCGGTGCCTTGCGGTGTGTGTACTTAGGTCTCTTCATGCTCTGTTCGCACAACAAAGAGGAGTATATGCTCCGCTCTTAAGGAAATGCTTGACAGTTGTTAGAAGTTATTTTCCACCTTTACGAACAATTACTAATTGTTGTAAGCTTCTTTCTTTTTTAGAAAATGGGTCTGTTCGCCATAGATACTTTTTTCCTCCCTTGTATTTCAATTAATTCTGTAGTTCATAAACTATTCGTAATCTTCTTTCTAAATAGTTCATTTGTTCACAGTTTGAAAGTCACCTCATTTACAGTCTTAGAGTCACAAGCTCAATAATCAAAAAGTTACAATACGACAGAGTTAAGCGCTACTGAACAGAGTATTGCGCAGTCGTTGACAGCGTCGAACAATGTTTCTGCTTGTTCAAGCTGCATTGGGGCATGCGGGACATGCGGGTTAGGGAGGGGAATCATGCTGCTGCTGGGGCTCAGTGCACGTTCTCAGCGCTATCTCAAGTGTTTTTTAAAAGTTCTCCAGCGATAAGCAATGTAACTTTATGGCCCACAGCCACTCGACTTCTATGTCTTGGACGGATCGCTTGGCTTAGCTTTGCGCAGGTTGGCAAACAATCATCATTATCATCATCATCAACAAGATGATTATTATTCAGTTTGCAAAGGTGCGTTGCGATCATGATGCATAGGTATATGATTCATGACTTTTCACTTTTGCACGTGAGACAAGCCAAAAAGAGTGAGGAATATGGATGGAAATAGCGCACAGTGGGCAATGATTGATGAAAATATGCACAAAATTGGGCATGGACTATCAAATTTGCAGTAATGAGCAAATGATTCAATGCCTGGAATTGAACACCTTTTAAATACAAAACATATGTTTAAAAGATTAAAAGCTGTGGAAATTCGAATTTAAGATTTGGAAATCAATTAAAATTATAATGAAATGAAGGAATTTGAATCTTTATAAAGCTTAATGTAAGATAAACTCATGAATCACTTTTTGTTTTCAATACTCTTGTATATTATATGAAAAATATTCTTTAAATATTTGATATCGGTTGAGTTTCGATTATTATATGATTCGTATTGGCAACTCACGACTTTAGTCAAAATATATTGCCTAAAAGTAAAGAACTATTTATTTGAATTCTAAAACTAAAACTCGATCTGACTGAAGCATCAACAAACTTTACTTAAATTTATTTATTTATTTTTATTAATTATTTATTTTTATAATGAAACCTATTTTTCCTTATAGTTTGATCTACTGGTACCACTGTGCGCAGCGCTGAGAAATCTGACATTTAACCCTTCGCATAAATTTTCATCAGTTTTTGTGGTCGTCGCCAGTTTGGCACGGAATGGCACGTAAATTACTGTGACATTGCACATTGCAGCATCATTTTGCAATTTGTTGAATGGATTTGTTGCGTTCTATGCCGTTTTATTGATTAGTTTTAAATTAAAAATGATCGAGCGTAACGGGCGATCGGGGGCGGCCGG